CAGCCAGATCTGCGTGCCTTAAGGGCTGATTCTGAGACCAGAGTGCTATTTAGGACATCTGCCATTCTATGGGTCTGCTGTGTATCTCGCTTCCCATGTTGGATCCTTCTCTCCCTTTTTTATTCTATCAGCTAGTATTTGCAGACACTAGTCTTGTTTATGTGCTCCCTTTGGCTCTTAGTCCTATCATTATGATCAATTGTGAACAGAAATTGATCACTGGGACTAGTGAGATGGCATTGGTACATGCCACCTTGATGGGATTGAATTGGAATCCTCTGGTATGTTTCTAACTCTACCGGTTGAGGTAAGTCAGCTTGAGCATGTCCCGTATTGCACATCTCTTCCCTCTCTTATTCCCACTCTTATATTTGACAGCGATCACTCTTCAGTTAAGTTTCAACACTTGAGAATAACTGTGTATTGATTACAGTATTCAACCAAAAGTATTAAGTAGACCAAACAAAAAAGTATTAAGAGGGATAACGTATTAAGTTGTTCATCAACAGTCAGGGCAAGGGCCCTGACTGTAATCTGTGATTACTTTGAAATTTATTGTATATGTGTAAAATGATTTTTCCATTTGTTGCTGTTTAAGTCTTTGCCTATATTTCTGCTAAACTAGAATTTTTTTGCTTTTTACTTGTTGAATTTGTTATTTAGTGGAGCATTAAGCCCTTCACTGTAATGTAAGTTAAAGATATGCGATCTCAAAAGTGAAGGAGAGAAGGCGAAAAGGGAGAAAGAGGGAGGGTGGGAAGGAGGGAGGAAGAGGGAGGGAGTGAGAAAAGAATTTCATTATATTCTTAGAATTGTATCTATGAACTATATAGAGCCCGTTAAAAAAAATAAAAATAAAAATCATCTGAAGTATATCTAACCACATTTGAAATCAGTTGAAAAAGTCTCTCTGTTTCCTACATTCTCAACATTTGGTTAGAGGTGACATGGTGTTTGTTGATTTTTAGTGAGCTGAGAAGCTTATGTTTGCTTCCACTGTGAACAGACTATTTACACTCTTTATTTAATCTTCTCTGGATTGTGTTTCCTATTGTAGTAGTGTCTTAAATATTGTAGATATTAATTCTTTGTAAGTTCTATGCACTACAAATATTTGTAACCCAGTGAGGCTTGTCTAGCCAACAAGCATCTTTTATCATATATCATTGTTTTAAATATTAATATAGTTGACATGTAAAGCTTTTCCTGTGGAACCTTTTGCTTTGTGTGTGTGTGCATTTTTTAAAATCCTTTCCCATCCAACATCCAAGGGAGATTCTCCCAGAAGAAATTCTCAGCTATTGGAACAGAACAAGTATTCTGATAGAAGACAGCATCTTGTTGTGGGAATAAATCAGTTCTAGAAAAAAAGACAGCATGCATGCTAATAATTCAGAAAATTTCTAAATGTGAGAAAAACATGTACATAGTTATGTTTTTTAATCTCCTTTTTGTCCTATGCATGTATTTTCAATGTAATTAGAAAATTGTTCTGTAAAAAGAATTCTCACTATTTCATTTACAAACTGTAGCAGTCTCCTCTGATCCGCAGGGATAGGCTACAAGACCCAAGGATGCCTGAAAGTGCACATAGTATTGAACCCCATAGATATTATGTTTTCTCTTATACTTGCATACATATGCTAGTTTAATTTATAAATTAGGCACTGTTGTAGGTTAACAATAATAACATGATAAAAAGAACAATCATAATAATATACTATAATAACACTTATATGAACATAACACCTTTCTCTGTCTCTGTCTCTCTCTCTCGCTCTCTCACCTGCCATGGAGTATATAGCGTATATAATGAATGATTCACATCCTGGGTGGGATGGAGCATGAGATTCCATCATGATACTTAGAAGGGAAATTTAAAATTTATGAATTATTTGTTTGTAGAATTTTTCATCAACAGTTTCAGACCACAGTTGAGGATAAGTAAATGAAATTGTGAAAAACAAAACTGAAAGGAGGATGGCCATATCACTTTTTAATGACAATACCTATTAATTCAGTGAATAAACTATTTTTGTTGACCCCATTGTTTGACATTTAACTTGTTTCCAAAGTACAAGATTATGTATAGCATTTTGATTTATGTTTTTATGCATAAAATTAATTGAATAGATGAATTAATTTGGTTAATGTTCCTGTCAAACATTTAACTTGTTTCCAAGCTTTAAGATTATAAATTAACTTCCTGTGCATTGCCAATTCCAAACCTCTTTTTAACCCAATCCATCAGCTCCCTCTTACCCATTCCTTCATAACATTCACTGTTCTTTTAGTTTATAACTACTCTCAGTCTTGATAATAATGGAAAAAACTGTATCACCAAGCTAACTAGCTCCACCATAAGCTCATTAGTATTAACTACAAGCTGGGTCCTTGTCAGTTATCCTTCCATTCATAATCATAGACTACTCATTAGCCTATTTTCAATATGTGGATCCATTCAATTCTCTTGAAGGTTCTAATATCACAAATTTACCCTCACTTCTAGCAGGTTACTTTTTTCCTACCTCATACAGAAGTTAAGACATTCGAATGTGAACTTCCCTAACTTCCCACTCTATAAAATTTCTTTTTTATCCTTCTTTCCTCATTCTCTTCACTTGAAAAAGAACACCACGTGCTCTCCAAGACTACCTCCTTCCATGGATCACTCACTTTTCTGTTTCCTCCATGACTTTTGCTTCGCTTCCCAGAGACTCAGATTAGAGGCCCAAGAGGTAGCCTTAATCCCATGCAAATCTTTATGTGTGGAAGCATTTCCATAATCATTAATTGCTTAATCCTATAATGTGGTTTTAAAAAGTTTATTTTATTTCATTTATTTTAAAGGTAGAGTAAAAGAGGAACAAGGCAGAGGGAGGGATCTTCCATCTGCTGGTTCACTTCCCAAATGCCCACAGCAACTGGGAATGGGCCAGGCCTATGCCAGAATTCAGGAACTCAACCCAGGTCTTCAATGTGGCTGTAAGGGACCCAAGTACTTGAGCCATCATCTGCTCTACCCCAGGATCCCATTAGCAAGAAGCTGGGCTAGAAACAGAATTGCTTGGACTTGAACCACACACTCCAATACGGAATAGGGCAGCCAAGTGACAGCTTAAGCCACTGTGCCACAATGTCCACATCAACATGTGATTTCTTTGTGCCTTTTAAATCTCTCTCTTTTCAAGACTGCTGACATGCTTTAGGCCCTCCTAATAACTTTTCTGGACTCATAATTATCCTCTAACGTGTCTGCTTATTTCTAATATCTCATTTCTGCCATGTTCCAAAATCCATACAGCTGACAAATTTATTTTATTAAGACAAGGATTAAGTCTCATCTTAAAATACAATGATAATCACATGATTATCTCCCCCTATTCCCCATCATGACTTTTGGATGGCTAGCAGATAAATGAAACTATCTAGCATAGCAATCATATGCTAGTCCAAATTTACCTAGTAAATCTTATTTCCTAATACAACATCCTCTATTTAACATGCCTTGTAATAGAAATGTGTTGTAATACACTCTGCTCCCTGAACACACCATCATGTGCAACTACACCCTAATAGAATTATTTCTTTTTCTGCCCCTGTTAGAGATTCCTTAGTGTCACTTCAATATTTTTTAGAATCCTTAGCAGCTCAAATGCTACTCCTCTGAAATTTTACCCCACCTTGATAGTAGGAATTTATCATTATTTGCTCCAAGCTCCTACAGCATTTTATTCACATCAGTCTTAGATAATTTATTGTAGTATATCTCTAATTATAACTATTTGTAGATATATTTATTTTGCAATTATTTGTATACATGCCCATCACTAGGTTATATACACTTCGAATATAGGAACGATACTATATTCTCTACATTTGTCCCCATCATTAATGGCAAGTCAGTGTTTGACACTCAATAAATACGACTTGAATAAGTATATGAATAAGTCTTAGTTTTAATTGAAAAAGGAGGTTATCAGCCATAAAAAAGCAGACTTCGCTTTCTTTCATAGATCCTCTAATCTGCACTGAGTTCAATGGCTTAAATTTGGTCTTACTAACTTATTTAAACAAAAGTGTCTTACATAACTTTTCTTACAACTCAAATTAGACAAAGCTTGAAATATAACTTTTTTTCCAAGGAAAAAGAAAGTTTAGCAAGGAAATCCAATTTCACAGTGATGCAAATACAGTGCTAGTAAATTGTGTCCAGTAAAAACATGAACAAAAACACAGACTCTCCATATTGGAGATGGAAATGTAGTTCAAATAATCTGCTGAATATAAAATCATTTGCTAAGAACCAAACATTAGACGATAGAGCAGGGGACACACATTTTGATTAAATCCACTTGTGTAGATAATACCCACTGCATAAGACAAAGGTATATTCAAAGGTCATTGCTTTGAGACATTTTATTAAATAGGCAATTTCATTTTTGCTTCCTTTATGTGGTCTCCCTTGGCAACACTGCCACTTGAAAAAATTAATTTGTATTGGCAAGAAAAAAGCCCCCAAATTAGTCAGCAATTCAGTGACAGGTTTTGTAACTCAAATCCTCTTAGTTAACTTGAATGGGTGACTCTATCATTTGTTCTCACACAAAGACAATAAGTGCTTCCAAGGAGATCACCATGAACTAAGATGCTCACTATTGATGTATTACTGTGCATGACAGCTGGAACAACGGTGTCTTTAAAATCATTAACCACTTATTTGTGAATGGGTAAATGAGGAATTTGCTGCCTTAAGCAACTTGATATGGAAGTCAGTTCACTAAAACCTACATCCTACATAGATATTTCATGTGTCTGCCTATGAAATTCTGTGTGTCCTACTAGATAGTAAGTGTATACAGGGAGGGACTTTTACTTTTAGTTGTGAAGCACTGTCTCTGATTTATCTGAGTACTCATTAAAGGTTGAAATCTTACTGATTAAAAAATCCAGCAACAACAAACAATATCTGTAAAGCAGGGGAACAAAAGGAACCATACCTTTGAACCGGGTGGTGCTGTCAATCCTAAAAAGGCATACACTGCATTATTTTCTCTGGCTTCAAAGAAGGCATCATAGTCCTTGGTGAAAATAAGGCAAAAAAGATTAGTAATGTGTAACCAACAAAGGAAACAATAGAGATTTGTTCACAGTGATCTGACTGGTTGGCAGAATAAGCTACCTCCTTAAGGGCAGACAAACTTCCAGAATGTTAGAATAATGAAAGTAACAGTGAAGAGGCAAGGTTTCTGGATGCCACATACTGTGGGTTAGAAAGTATGCTGTTCTGTGGGGGCATAAACTGTACAACTGTTTAATCTATATTTCATAGAATTTAAATCAGCTTTCAGCTTCCTCCACTGCCCAAAGCAGCTGACTATTTCCTAGTGAGAAGCTGCTTATTGATGGTTGTAGACTGCTGTTCCAGTTCCCCATATTTCCCTCTCATTATTCATGTAGGTAGAGATTGCCTCAGAGCCTATGGTAGAGCAGACATTAACCATTATAGCCATGGCTAGAAAAAATAATGAATCTGTGCTATGTTCACGGAAGCGAATAGGATGTACATGAAATACAACAATAAGAGTAACTAAATCACTAAGAGGTTTCTACCTGGGGATGCAAGAGATACCTCACATGAATGAATTTGGTTAGGCTTCCCATTAACATCCTCTAAGTGACCAAGGCTTTACAAAAGTAACAAACAGATATGTCTAAATTTGACTACAACTTGTAATCAACTACAAATATACCATTGTCTACACCTGGTCTTAATCTAATTTTTTACAGAGAAGCATGATGTTTTGGTTGATTTAAAAGAGCTGAAAAGCAGTCAAGGTTTGCTGGCTTCTCTAGAGATTTCCTCACCAATAGATTGCCAATTACAGAATTATTTTCAAGCATGTTTTCTTTTCCAAACACTTACAGGATCTGATGACCATAACACTCTGAGCCAAGAAGCATGAGAATTGTCATCTCCCTCTTATTGAGAGATTCTTTTAACAAAATCAGAATTGTTTAGAGCCACTGGAGTCTCCCCAAAGATTGACTCAAGGCATTTTTTGACAATGGAAAAAATCTTTTTTTAAAAGATTTATTTATTTGTCTGGAAGGCAGAGTTACAGAGAGAGGGAGAGACAGAGAGAGAGATCTCCCATCTGCTGGTTCATCTCCAAAATGGCTGCAATGGCCAGGACTGAGCCAAGCCAAAACCAGAAGTCAGAAGCATCTTCCAGATCTCCCACGTGGGTGCAGGGCCCAAACACTTGATCCATCCTCTACTGCTTTCCCAGGCGCATTATCAGGGAGTTGGATGGGAAGTGGAGCAGCTGAGACATGAACTGGTGCCCATATGGGATGCCAGCATTGTAGGTGGTGGCTTTACTTGTTATACCATGATGCTGGCCCCAGAATAAATCTTAACTAACACAAATATATCAGCAACTTCCTATACTCTTTGAATTCATTACTCAAAAGTGAAACCATCTGTATTCAAACATTAATTCCATAACAAAACAGATAACTGATAACCTACTCAAGGTAAACAAACAATATATGTCATATCCACACTCAACCAATAGGAAGTAACCTCAAAATGTTAGTTAAAATAATCAATGTGTCATACAGAAGGTATTCACTCTCATCAGAGCAACAAAAACAACTTGTGACTGTCTTCAGATTCCTGTGAAAGAAAATCTTTAAATGGATTGAATTCTGATCATATAATGCTATGAAAGGGACTCCAGTTGCCCCTGTTTCAAATCTTTTGTGGTCAAAATACATTAAGATTTCTTGGTCCAGAACTTAGAAAATATAAAGAAGTTTGTGCTTCTGAAAGAAAAGAACATTAGCTTCTTATTTAAGGCAAATTAATTTATTCCACGATATTTATTGAGCATCTACTGCATGCCAAACACTGCTCTCGATGTGAGAAATACAAGAGTGAACAAAAGATTGATATAGTCTGCTTCTTCTATAGGAATTCTTTGGGGGGAAATTTTATTTGCATCTCTGGGATTCCAAGAAAATTAATCCAGAATACATTCCATCACATACTGCTATCATATTGTCAATTCATGGAAATGTGTTTTAGTTCTTCACATACACAGCAAAAACTCATTCAGAATAAAAAGTATCCTTATAAATGCTGCATGTGCTATAGCAGAGTTTCACATAGGTAGGTAGGGTAGTATTTTCAGTCATCAGTCACATTTCAGTCAGGAAATAAGAAACTAAGACAGTTTACAACTGGAAGCACAATTGGTATCTCATGGTTAGAAGCCAGGAATGCTATTAAAGAGCCTACAGTGTACATGGAAGCCTCCTACAGCAATAAATTCTCTGCCTAAGATGTCAACAGTGCCAAAGCTGAGAAAGCTCAAAACAGTAGAGGGGAATTTCAGATGGAGAGCTAACTGCAAGGGATTACAGAGCAGATAGGCAGAGAGGTGATGAGGAAGTAGCCCAGATATTAGCAGCTGTGAGAAGCTGCTACTACAGCTAGGTCTAAAAGAAAAAGTGAAGAAGCTGGTCTTACAGAGCCCAGGAACCAGGACATATGGTAGAGCTGGTTCCACAAAGAAGGTACAACCACTGTCATGGATGCTTCCAGAAACAGTGAAGAAAGGGATACCTCGGCTTTTCCTCTCCTTCAATCTTCCAGCCAGTGCCTCTTACTAGCTAAACCTAATAGGTAACCAGTTGGCAATGGAGAATGGGAAATGTCATTTGAAGAGGTCATTCCTCCCACAATACAGAGTAGAGGAAGAAAAGAATGAATAGAGGATCTCCGAGAAAATGGGAAAATGATCAACATGGTGGTTTAATAGATTAGAAGCTTCAGAGCAGGATGTTAAGGTTTAAATTTTAGTTATAACACTGCTTACAAGTTATGTGATTTAGTAAACCAGTTAGCTTCTTCCAGAACTCCATATTCTTTGTGTGGGTGTGTGTGTGTGTAATCCCTACCTACCTCATGAGATCAGTATGAGAACTGATTGTTATGATACACATAAATCACATAGCACAGAAATTGACATACAGGTTTTCTATGAATGACTGCTATATACTCTTCTCCTTAAGAGTTTGTAAAATGTAGATATGAACAACTTTAAAATGAGACTAAGGAAACAGTCTTAACCCTTAATTTTATTAAATTCCTGATGGGCACAAAGCAGATGTTCAACAGAAGTTTGATTCCTTTCCATTAATAAATATTTAATTGATTGGTTAAGTCTCAGTTCCTATCCCTTAATTTTCATTTTATCATTTCTCAGTGACACATTATTTCTATAATACATACAATTTCCCTGCAGTGTGACTTCCAAGGAGAAAACAGCTAGGTAAATGTGGTTTCTCGAATGTACCCTTACAAACCAAAATGTGCTCATTTTCGAAAGTCAAAGAATAGAAATTTCTGCTTCAACAAGAAGAGGTTAAGGAGAGGTTAAGACAACATATGCTGGCTTAAACTGGATGGCTTCTGAGGCTTCTTCGAAGATTTGCTGAAATTTCAAATATGCAGACACTGAAGTTTCCCTATCTGAAAGAACAGCCTAAGTGCCTCTTCCTTATCTGTAGACTGTGTCTTTGCATATTGGCACTGACTGCAGCAGCAGATAAAATCTTGAAACCTCTTAGAATGGATTCATTCACTCAGGGAGAAAATAGCTTGTATCAGTGGACTTTCTAATTCTTGTCCTTCTCTCCTAGTTGCTCTGAAAAGTCATATGAAAGGCTCTTCACCAAATAGTGTCTTCCTTACTCCCAAATAAGCCCACGAAGTAGAAGGCTTGAATTGATGCCTCTAAAGACCTTTGTTCCTCTATAGTCCTTACATGTGCAGCTTCATAACCACTCTCTGTATAAAGCTGTGTGATTCTTCCTATACCCCACTTCCAACCAGCTCCTTAAGAGAAGAGTCTGTTTAATTTATATTTCTACTTGCTATGGTAATTAGAATGGGTAAACACTACAGAAGTTGCTCAACTATATAGTGAATAAAGAATTAGGAGTGTAGGTAACTACTTCATGGTTAAAATGAAGTTTAGATGAGACAAGGCACAATGAAAAACCTCAATTTTTTTTGTTTCCTTCTCTCCTCATATAAATTGTTAGCTAACTTTTACCAAAAAAAAATCCACTAATCACATCAAAATACATGTACTACTAGCTCTTAGCAGAAAATTAACTATTCTTTTTAACCAATTTTAAATTCTTCATGGACATACTAGAAACAATGCAACTCTTTTGGATGAAATCAACATGAAGAAATGTAAAGACAAGTGTATGTCCACAGTAGGAATTTATACATTTTACAGGAAATTTTTATGGATAACTCATCCATTTGCCTCCTACTAGAAGGCAAAATACTCTAGCTTCTTAGGATGGATGCAGAGGAAAAATGACCATATGCAAGAGAAATGATTATATGTGGATTTTCAGGTACAAGTTAAAGGAATAGGATAACTTGAGGCAATATTTCCAGTATTTAAATTGTATCCTTACCCCACGGTACTGGCTTTCATTGAAAATCTGAGGTGGCAGAGGATATCCAGTGGCTGGTCGACTATTTTCTGGTACATTTTCTCTCATCCACTTTCGATTCTCTTCATTGGCCGCAATATCTTTTTCTTCAAATCCGATTTTGTTGGCTTCTAAGAAACCAAGCACATCTTGCTGTTTCTTCTTAATCTAGAATCCAAAGGACAAGAAATCACACTGCTGAGTAAGAATCTTTTGTTGTTTTTTTCTTTTCAAATTCAATGAAAAAGGAAAAAAGTCAGTGCTTTGTGAGCTAACAGAAATAAATTTAGACATAGATCAAAACGGAGTTTCACAGAAGATATGATTTTCTCTCTTTATTATTGTCTTGTTAATGATGTCTCACAAGTGGGTTGAAAAGTTTGTATCTCACAGGTCCTTTACCAATCTCTTTCTTGTTGCCATTGAAAATTCACCTATACAATGATACAGACACAAGGACAAACAACCTAAAGCAGTAGAATTAACTAAAAAGCGTGTGTAATGGGATAGTGTGTTTTCTGATTATCTATGTACAAGTTTCTCTTAGTTTCATCTCTTGTTTAAAGTTTTTCCAAACGACCTAAGTCTACTCCCCATCTTGAGAAGCATTGTATAATCAATGGAAATAAATCTTTGCTTGAGAATCACACAAGCTTCAGAATCACTCAAGTCTCCATGTTCACTATTCACAACAGAAACGGAATAAGAAGATACAAAGGCAATACCTGTCGTATACTAAGTTTGAAATATACCTATACACTCATTATTACCTAACATGCCTCCTACAGTTCCTTTTATGTACGTTTGTGTGACTGCCTCAACTAGATTATCACAAAGAGATAACACACGTACTTTGTTTCCTTATTATAACTAACAGAGCTTTGAAAATGAATTAGTTAGGTTTCTCCACTGATAGGCATTTCTTTTAGAATCTGAAATCACATATCTATCATAATTTACCCATTATAAAACCATTACTAGATATTTCAGAACAGAAAATAATCAATAAGGAAGTTTCTTCAAATAATCACACTAAGAAGACACATGGGGCAGAACCTTCAAAAAACTGTTTTTTTTTTTTTTAAGAAAGCAGACTAGTCAATGGGAGAGAAAATGTAGACTAAGAAACTCACATGCAGTCAAGGCCCTGTTGGATTGACATCTGCCATCCTCCCACACACGAGTCCAGGCACAAAGATTGTATATATCTGTCCTTCTAAGTTGTTTGTGATAGTAGGTAAATAATTTTCTTTCACATCTCATAACCCCAGGAAAAAGAAAATTCTCAATTTCTCCTAATATATACTGAAATTTCTAAAAGCTATTTAGTTCAGAGTACTGAATGTTCTTTAAAGACAGTTTCAACCCATGGCTGGTCGCAGTGCAGTGGTGTTTACAACTAAAGACAGTGTCAACCCAGCAAATTTTGCTACAAGGTAATTTTTTAAATGAGAATCTTACTTCCTTATTGATTTATAAAATAAATTGTTTAATTATAAATTTGTACCCATTTTTGAATTTTGAGGAAGATCAATGTCAAAGTAAATAAGTAGTCAGGAGTATCTAGTAGACTAATGCACTTGATGGTAGGTTCAATTATGCCAATGACTCAATAGTCAAGGGTCAGTCAGTGTAAAGTGTATTTTGACAAATCGAGTAATTTGTCAATCATTAACATGTTTACAAATCTGAGTAGCCCCATTAATTAACAGGGGTGGGGAAACTTTTGCTTGTCAAGGGTCATTTGGACATTTGTTAACATCACATACAAAATTATCAGCTTAATAATGAGCCTGCTATACATTGATTTTTGAGTCCTGCCTGAGGTTGCCTTGGCAAGGCCAGAAATTATTTTGCTGACTTTATATGGTCTATAGGCTGGACGTTCCCTACCCCTGCATATGGTACTTCCAGGTATCCAGCATAAATTTTTTAAAAAGCTTTTATTTATTTATTTGAAAGTCAGAGAGAGAGAGAGAGAGAGAGAGAGATCTTCCATCTGATGTTTCACTCCCCAAATGGCTGCAATGGCTGGGGCTGTGCCAGGCTGAAGCCAAGAGCCAGGAGCTTCTTCCAGGTCTCCCACATTGGTTACAGGAGCCCAAGTACTTGGGCTATCCTCAGCTGCTTTACCAGGTGCATTAGCAGGGAGCTGGATCAGAACTGGAGCATCTAGGACTTGACCTGGTGCCTGTAAGGGATGCCAGAGTCACAGGTGGCAGCTTAACCCATTGTAACATAACACTGACCCCTCCAACATTTTTTAGAAATGAGCAAAGAGTTAACATTATAGCTAATGTGCAAAGAATTATACATGGCTCTGGGAGAACACCATTAGACACATTTGTGTGAACAGACAAAGGGCATAGGGTCTATTAAAATATTTATTAATTTATTCTCATTTATTTGAAAGGCAGAGGGAGATCTTCTGCTACCCACCACCCCACCAAAGCCCTCAATAGCTGGGCCATGAAATCAGGAGACTGGAACTCAGTGTAGATCTTGCACAGAGCGAGCAGGGACCCAAGTACTTGAGTTATCACCTGCTGCTTCTCAGGTGTACATTTGCAAAGAAGCTGGATCAGAAGTAGAGCTAGGAGTCAGATCCAGGCACTCTGATATGGGATGCAGGTGTCCCAAGTGTCAGCTTTATCTGCTTTGCTACAATGCCTACTCCAGGTTAAAGAATTTTTAAGATAAATCACTTTTTGAGGCCTTTCTCTCACTTTCAAATGCTTACTATGTCAAGAACACTGTGATAAGTTGATGGTTGCCTGACATACTATCACTGGGCATAGCTTCACAGGATATTACACTGATGTATTTCTCCTTTAGCCATTAGTTTTGGATCACAAGTATTTTCCCCATGCTTTGAGGCTGCCTGACCTAAAGTACATATGTTTCCTAGAGTGTCCTGCATCTTAATAAAGATGAAGAGAAAGGGTCATTGTCACACTTTGCTAATAGGTCCTTCCATGTCAAACATTAACATTTTCTCAGCTTTGAATCTTTAGGAAACATAAAAAAAATTACTAACTTGATCGTGTCTGTAAGTACAACATTTCACATATGAAGTTCATTTCTAAGAAGCAATATTTTATATGTAACAAATTAATCTTTCTCATATACTGATAGGCACATGTTTTGTACAATAAACCCTGACAAGAGAGCATCCAATAACGCTTAATTTCACTAATGGGACTTAAACTAAAGGGACACAGTGAAAAGTGTGGCTGAAATCATACTTACAAAACAAAGGGCAGGCCGGCGCCACAGATCACTAGGCTAATCCTCCGCCTAGCGGCGCCGGCACACTGGGTTCTAGCCCCGGTTGGGGTGCCGGATTCTGCCCCAGTTGCTCCTCTTCCAGTCCGGCTCTCTTCTGTGGCCTGGGAAGGCAGTGGAGGATGGCCCAAGTGCTTGGGCCCTGCACCCGCATGGGAGACCAGGAGGAAGCACCTGGCTCCTGGCTTCAGATCAGCGCAGCACGCTGGCCATAGCAGCCATTTGGGGGGTGAACCAATGGAAGGAAGACCTTTCTCTCTCTCTCTCTCTCTCTCTCTCTTTCTCTGTCTAACTCTGCCTGTCAAAAAAAAAAAAAAAAACATTTAAAAGGAAGGGCAATGGGTGTCATAAAGGTTCACGGAGGAATAAAAATTAAATTTCTCAGAGGGAAAAAATGGAGTTAAAAGGTTATTGATAACATTTTCAGCCCACAAATAAATTTGCAAGTGCCCAATGGCACAATCTAGTAACCTAAATCTCTCTTTTCATAGTAAGTTCTGCCCCTCACTTCTACTCAAAGAGAACCAAATCATTTCAACTCACTTGCCAGGAGTTTTCTTTCCTCTAAAAGACACTGGAGGGCTAATGAACAATTGTTACCTGGAGGAAATAGTTGCTTTCCAACAAGCTTCTGTGAACTTCTTGTCTGTCATGCTAAAGGTCAACTTTCTTTTAAAGAAAGGAGACTGGCAAGGTTTCTGGTTTGGAAAGTGCCACTGTGACTGTTCCAAATACCCAAGGAAGAACAAAACTTTACTAATAACACTTCAAATGGGAAAACAAGAGTTCTTTTCATGAAAGAAAGTGCCACTCCACCACAAAAAAAACTTAATCAAGGTGGGGTTTTTACTTTGTTTTATAATCAACCTCTGTTACCTGTTTTCTACTGACACTTTAACGAAACTTGACAGAAGTTCTGACTACCAAAATCTAAAAAAAAAATCATAACAACATTTATATACTATTTATTCAACAATATCTGTGTGCATTGAAAGTGTCAAGCAAAGAACTTTACTAGGCTTCTAAAATGCCTAAAGAAAAACGAAAGATCCCTTCCCAATATTGCAATATAGTGGGAGGAATCAGATATGCAGATATTAAAAAGTTCAGCTACAAAATGGTATTTAAATAAGAAGTCAGACACACGAGGTGATTAGGTGAGAGGGGCCCAGTGAATGACAAAGCATAGGTGAAAAAACAGAGCAAGCACTTAATTGTTATTAGTGAAGCCACTCAGAAGGAGCTTAATACCGATGGTGCCAATGCTAGAATATCTATCCATATGTACTGAATGCAATCTAGAGTTTCCATGAAAAGTTGTGGTTAGTAAAGATGACTAAAATTGACCAGCTGGAAAAATGAGCTTGCAAAGGTGACAATATATTATATTAAAACAATGAAGGTAAGATCTTATAAAACATACTTGGAAACCTTCTAAATGGATGCTCATAATTTCTGCTACCAAATTCTTGCACATAACTGAAGTCTATAATGAATAAACAATTGTGTGGGTGTGCATTTTGTCTTTTTGAAACAGGTTATAATTTTCTCAAGGAGAAATTCATGTATATAGACTCCCTATTGTTGGTTCTGCTTATTTCAAATGCTGTCATGGGAAAGGTCACTCGGCTTTTTTTAGGAAAATCAAAAGCGTGTGCCTAAGGATTTAGCAGTGGGGTGGAGGAGGAGTGAACAAGTAGCATTTAGAGCTGCTTGTTCAGCCTTTTAGTAATCTACTTACAAAATACACCTAAAAGGAAAATCAAATCTGAAACCCCAGTTAGTCTGGTTGGAACTGGACCAGTGCATTGTTGCTGCTGTGTAGGCCTTTGGTAACCAGAGAGATCCATTTGCATTTTCAAATGAACACTGCCATGTGTCCT